TTACTGGAAATGGCAACGGATCCGCTAGCTCGAGTGATGCGACATGAAGCAGCGCAAGTTTTAGGAGGTAGGAGTTGATCAGTTTCCTAAGTTTAAAGCGGGTGGCGATATTGAGTGCAAACTTTGTTCCATGCCAAAATATGTGACATTTTGAATGAATGCTCTCCGTTTTTCATGACTTTCGATACAGCCCGGCACAATAGCTTAACAAATTATTCCTTTAGATTTACCGAAATATGCTGGTCTGAGCTTTCCTCGCGAATTGTTACAAAGCCAGCTCTATTAGATTTTGTGTTTTTAATAATTACATTTTCTCGATATCTATCGATTTCGAATAGGAAGTCGTATTCGTCCGGCAGACCAGCAGAAATTCTTAAAATGATATTAAAAATGATATTGTAGGTTGTGCATTCGTGTACGTAGTTCGTTTTGAAGAATATAAAACGCGAGCTATAACGAACTTCAGCAGTAAACCCGATTCTTGCAAACTTTTAAATTATTACGGTTAGCAATGGCAGAAGAAAGAAAGAAAGGAGCCCGACCGGGTCCCATGCGAAATTTTAAAGCAACTCTATTTGCATCGCTATGGCAACGGCATTGCCGTGAAATATTTATTTGATTACAATTAGATCACTGCCATGTAAAGTGTGCAAGTACTTTATTATCAAAACAGAATCCAAGACAAATATATTGCATGTAGAAAATTTTTTAATTTACACGAAAGTCTATCATTCATTTATTTGAAAAATACATATTAATTTCATATCGGCAATTCATTAAGTACTTGTGATATCACAATAATTTACAGCAAGTGATACATACATACATGAATAAATAAATAAAAGTGAATAATTGAATGAATAAATAAATGTAATAAATAAACTAATTATTAATTAATTAATGCACAGTCACTGACAGCTGAAGGTTTGAAAGCTGCATTCAGTCCGTAATTTCTAACCGGTTTTCTTATCGCAGGTGTCAGACAGTAGGTTCCAAGCGTCAATAAACGAGCGTTTAATATCTGCTACATATTTAGGCAATGCTTCACTGATCGACTCCTCAATCTTCTCCCACAGCTCCTCAGTGCTGAACTTTATAAGTCCGCTCTCACTCATCAGCAGACCGCGATCAAGACGTCCCAGTAATTCATCCACGTGCCGCTCACGCAAATACGCGACCGGCACGTATGAGATTTTTTTACCACAGTCCTCGGCCAAAACATTGAAATTATCAATATAAGGATGCGGCATGTTGCGCTTATTTGTACATGATTTTACATACTCAAATATTTTACGCACGATTACTGGAAATGGCAACGGATCCGCAAGCTCGAGTGATGCGACATGAAGCAGCGCAAGTTTTAGGAGGTATACCCTCCCTCCTCCTTTCCTCCCATTCTCCTTCCCTCCCTCCCTGCCTCCGTCGCTCTTCCCCGCGCACCTTGATCGCTACCTTCACGACCTCCTCCACGCAGCGTCGCGACCGTCCCGCGCCCGTCATCGCTGTGCGGGCTGTGTAGCCCCTGCCTCCCCCCTCCCTCCCTTCCTCCCTCCTCCCAGCGCACATTGATCGCTGCCTTCACGACCTCCTCCACGTAGATGCGCGACAGTCCCGAGTACGTCATCGCCGTGCAGGCCGTGCAGCCAGTGTGTTTATATATGTTTACAAGTATAATATTTGCCATGTATTTATCGTATAGGCATCTCGAATACGATTTAAGCGCTCTATATAACCGAGTTCAGTTCGTGTGAACTATAAAATTCAGCCATCGCTTATGATAGTGTAATGAAGCAGAAATCAAGAGAGCGGAAATGAATTTTGAAATGTAGGAATAGGGAGCATAGGCGATAGTGGCACGAGTATTAGAGAAATTAGTTAGAGGAACAACGATTATAGAAGCGTTCACATCACATTGAATAATCAACATCGCAACGCTTAGAAGATTGGTAATTATGCCAACGGCAGATGGGCGATTAGTTTAGAGGGCATAGAAGGTGTTAGATTGTAGCGAGCACGTAGTAGAGTGGGCTAAAATAATTAGCCACTGTTACGAAGCAACGCATGCAGAATAAATGTTACCGGAGACAATTTGGCAGCCAGCCAAGGGCCAAAGAGTTGGGTTTGGACACAGTCCAAATTGACGTAAGATAGACCAGGTGGTCACTCGTCATACTAGTGTCCGACGCCGAACCAATAGGGGAGGTGGCCGAAGCGGCCGGCGAGGCGAGAAGAAACGCACCCAACGGTAAGCGCACGCCCAGAGGTATAAAAGGGAACGCGAAGAGAGAACGTGACCGGCTATAACGACAAAGTTCTCTGCGAAATAAAACAATGTTTTCCCTGTGACAATCCTACTGTTCGCTTTACAACCGACTTGAATTTACATAGCATTAGCATTATACAATAGCATTATCGCACCTGTCATTTCAAGTTGACGCACCCGATGAACTCATGTCTACCTGCCATCCCGCGACCCCGGCTCGGTCACGTAGCCCCAATTGCTGAGGAAGAGAGAGAGAGACGAGGAGGAGGAAAGGGGCAGTTTCCACGCACCCCACGAGAAATGTGAATACATGACATGATTATTAGCAGCCACCTTCCCAAAACACTTTGGCCCCTGGGTTTACGCTGCCCCAGGCACGCAAACACACACACACACACACACACACACACACACACGCATGCACGCACCCACACACGCACGCATGTACGCACGCACGCACGCACACACACACACACACACACAAACACACACACACAGATA